GGCCAGCTTTCTTTTTAAATCTTATGCTCTGTCCAATGTCTAGCTCTGGCCTGATGTAGATTCTCAGTGGGCATTTGCTGAATGCCCATCAGTATGGCTGGGGGGACAGATGTAAGGGCCATGAAATCAGGTTGCAGGTCCACGAGCACATAGGTGATGACTGAAGAGGTCATCAGGAGTGTAGAGATGACAGTCAGGCATAGAACCCATCCGACAGCTCATGGTTTTACTCTCCAGTTTGCTTTCTTTGTAAATGGATTCAAACAAAATCTCCACCTTCCACCTGGGAAACAGAAGAATCCCACTCTTGATAGCAGGGGCTCTGGAATCAGAGTGCTGGCATTTTAACTCAAACTCTGTGAACTTGATTCACCCCTTTACCCTTGCTAAATCTCAGTTTTCTTGCATAATGGGGCTAATGATTATGGGTCATAGGAATTTTGTGAAGGTTAATTGAAATTATAGCCTAGGCCCCTGTAAGTCTTAAATAAAAATTAGTTGTTGTTATTATTATTATCTCAGTTATTAAGCATAGCATTTAAATATACTGGTCCAAGTGGAAATGACCCCAATATAAATATAGGATTTTTTTTTTTTTTTTGCTATGCTGGGGATTGAATCCAGGGCCTTGGCACTGAGCTATGTCCCCACCCCATTTTTATGTTTTATTTTGATACAGGGTCTCACTAATTTGCTAAGTTGTCCAGGATGGGTTGGAATGTGCAATCTTCCTGCTTCAGCCTCTCAAGTGCTGGCATTACAGTCCTGTATCAAAATGCCGGCTTGAATATAAGCTTTTAAAAATAGTACTTTATGATAACTGTGCTGCCTGTGCATTTGTCAACTCATTCAATTTTCATAATAAGCCAATCAATATTAGAGACATCATACCTATTTAGTAATGTCCTGTGGCTAATAAATGGCTTAGATAAGAACTATTTTCCAAGTCCAGCAGACTTTCAGACTGAAAAATCAGAAGGAGAGTATCAAATACAAAGATTTAGAGCCAAAAGTCATCCCTCTTGGATAAAACTGACTTACCTCTCAAACAGTGTGGTACCAAGCCCTTGACTTACATGTATCCTAAACATTTTCAGCATTTGGTGGAAGACTATCACTCTGAAATGCTCTGTTTGGACTGCAACACCAGTACAGTTGAAGTTAATCTTTCTCATTCTTTAATTTTAACAGGTATTTGTAGAGCTTTATGCTAGGTACTGTGTGGGATACAGAGAAATGCAGTTTATGGATTTTGTCCTTAAAGGTTTTATCGCTTAATCACAGCGAATGGAGGGCAAAGAGACAGCGTG